TAGTTTGAAGTACAAGAAGTTCATGGAAACTTGATTTTTTTTTTTTTTTTTTTTTTTTTTTTTTTTTTTTTTTTTTCTGGTAAAACATCCATATGTTATTTTATGTTTTGTTATTTTTGTGACTCAGTACAAACATGTATTGTTGCCATTATTGTGTTGAGAGAGAGGTTTCAGTTCATCCATCYTCTCCGTTATATCATGTTTGAGTCTGACTGTTGTCGAGGTGCTGCTCAGTCCCAAAGCGTTAACCCTGTTTTTAGCACTCAGTCCTCAGAGGCCTTCCTGAGAACCTCTTCAAACACTGATCCTCTGCCTGGGTTCAGACCCAATGAGATTTTTTTTCTTTCTTTCTTTTTTGACATTGAAACACCTTTGAGTGGGAATAARAGCAAGGTGTTGTTTTAAATAAACAACTGACAGCTACTTGAAAAATTTCAACTATTTTAATCGTCCTCAACATTTTGGGTTGTGCATCACAGGGGCGTGTCTAGAATTAGCTTTCTTGGGGGGAGGGGCACAGGCACAGACTGTAGAAGGGTGGCACAGTAAAATTGCTATTTCAGCTAATTTCKCTGCAGTCTTAAGGGCTCGACACACGGGGAGCGACAAACTACAGCGATTAACGGCTGTCATCGCAGCCAGGGTGAAACCCGACACACGGGACGCGATAGCGATTGCAGCGTTGTGAATCGCGCTCTTTCAGGTCGCTTGTCTTCACGAAATTTGATTGGTTCTTGACTCTGAAGGGAGGGTGTGCATTACGGACGTGTAAACTAAACAAATCTTGCAACGCTAATGATATTGAAAAACAAACACACATCAAGATACAGTTTTATGAGGAAAAACTTACCATAAACTTCACCCTGGTTCCAATAAATTCCCACAAAGCTTTTTAGTAATCCCTTGGTGAAAGTGTTAGCTAACMGCAGTGTGTAGCATACTCTCCTCTCATTGGTCAGTCAATGAAACCCTCACTGATTGGTTGTACGCTAAGCGACAGCGACAAAAGTTGAACATTTTTCAACTTTCATATGTCGCGTCGCAAGCTCGCGTGTGTACGTGTACAAGCGTGAAATTTCACATGCACTATTTTCGCCGGTCGCTTAGCTGGAGGAGGGCAAGCGATTGTCGCCTCACCGCACAGGCTCCATAGGAAATGAATGGAGAGCGAGCTACGTCGCCTCCTGTGTGTCGAGCCCTTTAGATTGCAATGAACAGTACCTTAAAATTTGAATAATAAACTTTTTGTTTACCCAAATTTAACACATGGATGTGCTTAGCATGCTAGAACTATGCTGTTGATTCAAAATCTGGGACATCCAGAATATAAATAGAAATTTAGATGCATCACATTCTCACTGTACACCAAAAACTGTCGGCCTGTGCATACGCTGTCAGTGTAAGAATTGCATTAAAGTAGAATTACAAGAATTTCTGCATAATATTTACAACACATCAAGAACTATAGCAGCTGCATACAGAAGTGTAAAGAAATAATGTAAAAATACTTTGRTAATGTATTTAAGTAGAAAATTTGATCATCTGTACTTGAGTATTTTTAAGATGACTATTTACTTCTATGTATATTTTCATACAGTTATCTGTACTTTACACTCCTTACATTTTAAAGAAAGTTTCTCCTAATTCATTTACTTGTTTTCATTCAGGCTCATCATTGTTAAAATAATAAAAACCTACCCACATGTATGGTGCCTCCTAGACAGAGTGAATTAAATTGTGGTTGAAAGAGAAGTATAAAAGCATTTTAACACCCTATTGGTTTTTAGCGATCCATCACATCTGCACATGACARAAATCACGTCACACTCCAGCAGGACACAGCAAACATTATGTAACTGAGCATGAAAATGATGGTAACAGATACAGTACTGTATACTGTACATGCTGCTGAAACAGGAAGCCCAGTGTATCTCAAAATTTTCAACATGAACAACACTTTATACACTGGCTGTATATGTCTGTCTGAACAAAGTGATTGACAGCTCTGGTGGTGGTGATGGTCAATGTCAATGTCAATGTCAAATTTATTTATATAGCACTTTACAACATGCATAAAGCTGTACCAATGTGCTGTACAAGAACAACACAAATGACAAACAGAGCAAAAAAAAAAAAAACAATACATCAATGTATGTATTGGTGTGGGGGTAGGGCGGCCAATCAGATTTCAAGGGTAGCCAGTGCTTTTCTGAATCTTAAGTTTTCACTTGTCTTCATAGTTGTCTAGTTTGGGGCAGAGCCTGATGCTGCTGAAACCTGTTGGCT